AGCTTAACCCACCATGCCACAATGCCAGGCCCTGAAAATTTTATTTTTTTAATTGATTACTACTAGTAAAAAAAAAAAAAAGCCATGGGCATTTCTTTTTGAAAAGATTATAGACTATTGGAAAAAAATGGCAAAATCCATGATTCATTTTACAAAATTTTAGAGTACAAAAGTTGTAAGTAAAACAACAAAAATCCTGAAAACTATGAATTTATTTATTTATTTTGGACAGGCAGAGTAGACAGTGAGAGAGAGAGAGACAGAGAGAAAGGTCTTCCTTTTCTATTGGTTCACCTTCCATGGCTGCTGTGGCTGGCGCACCGCACTGATCCAAAGCCGGGAGCCAGGTGCTTCTCCTGGTCTCCCATGGGGTGCAGGGCCCAAGGACTTGGGCCATCCTCCACTGCACTCCCAGCCACAGCTGAGAGCTGGACTGGAAGAGGAGCAACCAGGACAGAATCTGGTGTCCCAACTGGGACTAGAACCCGGTGTATTGGTGCCGCAGGTGGAGGATTAACCTATTGAGCCATGGTGCCGGCCAAAAACTATGAATTTCAGGGCTAGCATTGTGGTGGTGTAGCAGGTTAAGCCACTGCCTGTGATGCTTATGAGCACTGGTTCAATTCCCGGCTGTTCCACTTCTGATCCAGCTCTCTGCTAATGTGCCTGAAAGCAAGTCCTTGGGCCCCTGCAACCATGTAGGAGATCCCAATGAAGCACTTGGCTCCACCCTGGCCCAACCCTGGCCATTGCAGCTATTTGGGGAGTGAACCAGGAGATGGAAGATCTCCCTCTTGTCTCTCCCTTTCTCGCTTAATTCTCCCTTTCAAATAAATAAATAAATGCATCTGAAAAAAGAAAAAAAAAACAACTATGGGGGCTTGCACTGTGGCACAGTTAGTTAAGCCCACACCTGTGACACCAGCATTGCATATGGGTGCCAGTTCAAGTCCCAGCTGCTCCACTTCTGATCCAGCTCCCTGATAGTGCACCTGGGAAAGCAGCAGAAGATAGCCCAAATCCTTGGACCCCTGCCATTCATGTGGGAGACCTGGAAGAAGCTCCTGGCTCCTGACTTCGGCCTAGCCTAGCCCCAGCCATTGTGGCCATCTGAGGAGTGGGCTGGTGGATGGAAAATCTGTCTGTCTCTACTTCTCTCTCTCTTTCTAACTCTGCCTTTCAAATTAATAAATACATCTGTTTAAAGAAAAAAAGATATGTATTTCATTTATGTAGTAAATTCTAAAGTATTAACAAACCCAGCAGGCTAATAATATAATCTGGTAGAATTAAAAAATTTAACAGCAGAGTTTGTCAGTAGAGTTACTCTACCAATTAAAGGGGTAGAACTAGGGACTAGCTTTGTGATGCAGCAGGTTAAGCCACCACTTGCAATGCAGCATACTATATCAGAGTGCCAGTTTGAGCTCCAAGCTGCTCCACTTCCAATCCAGCTCCCTGATGATGGCCTGGAAATGCAGGGGAACATGGCCCAAGTGTTTGAGTCCCTGCCACCCATGTGGGAAATCCAGATGGAGTTCTGGGCTCCTGGTTCCAACCTGGACTAGTCCTAGGCATTGCAACCATTTGGGGAGTGAACCAGTGGCTGGAATATTTCTCTCTCTCTCTCTCTCTCTCTGTCACCCTGCCTGTCAAATAAATAAGTCTTAAAAAAATTAAAATAAAACTAAAGTATATCTGATAAAATTCAACACCCATTTTTGTAATAAATAGAAAAGTCCACATATGAAGGAACTTCAAAAAGTTTGTGGAAAAATGGAATTAGGCCGGCGCTGTGGCTCACTACGCTAATCCTCCACCTAGCGGCGCCAGCACACCGGGTTCTAGTCCCGGTTGGGGCGCCGGATTCTGTCCCGGTTGCCCCTCTTCCAGACCAGCCCTCTGCTGTGGCCCAGGAGTGCAGTGGAGGATGGCCCAAGTGCTTGGGCCCTGCACCCCATGGGAGACCAGAATAAGCACCTGGCTCCTGCCTTCAGATCAGCGCAGTGCGCTGGCCGCAGCACGCCGGCCGCGGTGGCCATTGGAGGGTGAACCAACGGCAAAGGAAGACCTTTCTGTCTCTCTCTCACTGTCCACTCTGCCTGTAAAAAAAAAAAAAAAAAGAATTAAAAGGTAAGTTTGGGTATGAAAAATTTTGAAATCTTTAGTTTTCCCATAACATACATTTCCATGAACTTTTTGAAGTGTACTCATAGTTTCTGGCTGTAAAGGATGGGTCTCCAGAAGAAGCTCCTGGCTCCTGGCTTCTGCCTGGTCCAGTCCCAACTGTTGTGGCCAACCTCTCTCTCTGTCTCTACCTATCTCAGTAACTCTTTTAAATAAATAAAATAAATCTTAAAAAAAAAAAAAGAACAGGTCTCAGTGTGGGAAAATGTGAACTCTGCAAGCCTCTGAGCAAACGACAGGTGATGCTGTGTCATGAAAAAGCCCTGTCCTGGAAGTCAGGGGTTTTAATCTACTGTGGATAAGATGTGTATAGTCAGGTCGGTCTCTGGTCTTGGCTTCCACATTTTTTTTTAAAGATTATTTATTTATTTGATAGGCAGAGTTAGAGAGAGAGAGAGAGAGAGAGAGAGGAGGAGACAGAGAGTGCTTCTATCTGCTGGTCAACTCCCCAGATGGCTGGGCCAGGAGCTTCTTCTGGGTCTCCTGCATGGGTTCAGGACTCCAAGCACTTGGGCCATCTTCCACTGCTTTCCCAGGTGCATCAGCAGGGAGCTGAATTGGAAGTGGAGCAGCCGGAACTTGAACTGGCACCCATATGGGATGCCGGCGCTGTAGGCAGCAGCTTTGCCGGCTATGCTACAGCGTCAACGCTGGTTTCCACATTTGTACGGTGACCCCAGGTAAGCTCTAACATCCCACCAGATCAGCTGTCCTATGGAGTAGTTTAGTCCTTACTCTCGTCTGTGTCCCCGTGACTGGTGACAATCCAGGGCTGTTCCAAAGCAGCTGTGGCACATGTGGCAATGGCTTGGATCCGAATGTCATCGTGCATGTCTGCCAGGCTCCTCAGCAGGCTCTCCACTGTCTCGTGGTGCCACTCGACGACTGTGTCACAGTGAGGGAACGAGAAGAGAACTACCTGGTCAAGGTTGGATATTGTGCTGCAGGCAGAAGACAGGAAGTACCCTTTCCCTGAGGACAACTGAAGAACAGCATCAGCTTAGAATGGAGGGCCCAGGGATGGGTCCTTAGGGATGACCTATGTACCCTCCCAAGTAGTTCCTGGATAAAACTCCCCCAGTCCTATCCTCTATGTTATCTCTCTTTGCTTAAACAACTTTGCATTGTAGCCAACTGGAAATTGAAAGGAGCAATAAGACACACTGGTTAAGGTACTTTGTTGTTTGACATAACTGTTGTGGAATTAGTTATTAGCTGTGTGACCTTGGAAAAGTTACTTAGCCTCTGAGATTTCTCATTTGTCATATGAGACTAATACTAGAAGTTACCACCACTGAGTTACTTTTGAGGGTTAAATGAGTTAAGTAGATCCAGTGTTTAGCAAAATACCCAACAAGATACTGAGGATTCGATAAATGTTAATTATTGTGATTACCATTGGGTTTCCTTGCTTTTGAGGCTTCAATGTCTTCCTCATTTTAGTTGCTAATTGCTCAGTTTGTAATTAGGATACTTTTATTTCAGTATTCCTACTAAATGTAGGTGCTCCTTGTTCACAGCTCTTACTCAGAATTTTTATCCTTTTTGGACAACTGGTCTAGTTTATCTAATGAATTGCCCTTCCTTATTCAGCATTAACTAAACTGGTCTCATGTTCTGACGGGCAGCAGCTCTTGAGTTCTCAAATACTTGCGAGGCCATTATTCTGCCCAGGTACTCAACCTTTTCTCATAGCTTTGAAAGAAAAGTAGACACATGATAACCCCAACTCCAGAAATATATTTTAGAGGGAGGCTGTTTATATTGCAGTCAAATACAGTTTCTTTTGACGAAGGGTCTTCTTATGAAAAGATGTGTTTGTGAAAAAACTATGTATAGATTTTTCAAAAATTTTTTTGGCACTTCAATAAACTTACCTTTTACATTTTCCCATAAACTCTGGAGTACTCTGCGTTCATCATTGCTTGCAACATTGTAAAACATCGTGCGGGCAGCATATTTGGTCCTTCCCCTCATGCATCATTTACTGAGCATTAAGTTCCATAAATCAGCAAGACAGAGTTGCTGCCTATGAGGCGTTCTCCGTGGAGAGAATTTCTGCCCATTACTGAAGTAATACCCACGCAGAAAGCATCCAGATGCATGTATGCATGTGTGCCAGGATTCACCGAACACCCGCTGTGTCAAAGGCTCTCACCTAGTGTAGCCTTGCAGTAAGATTTCACAACAGAGGGATGGATGTTTCAGAGATTGAGAAGTACTTGTCCAGAGTGAGGCCCACCCCATCACAGGTCTATACCAGTGCCTCAGGACCCCATCACTCACTTAGAGACCAGGCAGTCTTCCATTCCTGCAGCATCCTCTGCAGAGCCACCAGCTCCCAGCTCACATCCACCCTCGATGGTCTTGCCTGCTTCTTCGATCTCCTGGTCTGAACGGGCACATCCTCACCCACCTGCAGCAGCACATCCTTGGCCGGGGTTGGCAAGGCAGTCCAGCGCAGGGCTCCTTTCACAGGCCTACAAGCTGTGCAGTGTGGCAGCGAGAGATCTCACCCCACTGGCCTAGGCCTTGCCATAGGGTGCTTCCAGCTAGCATCTCATTCCTAGTCCTCTAACACCAAAGTGAAGCAGAACTCTTGCTAGCAGACTTGTTCGTGGTTATATAGGGAACTGGGTATGAGTCCCATAGGGAATTATGAAAGGTCCTGACTACAGACATGGGAGGCCATGATGATGGTGAGGGAGAGAGATTTGGGGCAGGAGATGAGCTGGAATTCAAATATATATATATATGTATATAAAATCTATCATAGCATCTAAGCCCAATAATTTTCCTATTTTTCCCCCCAGGTTCTTTTAGCTTCATTTCCTGAGATGAGATGATGAATAAAATGGTTATAAGAAGGTATGTCATAGGCCTCAGCGGGGAGGCAGGGTCTACGTGGAGGGGTTGGGGGAGAAGGTATGCCTATGTCACTATACTTTCCCCAGATCAATCTAAAGTACTGTTTTTTAAAGTTTGATGTGAAAATTCCTACAGCATCAGCTCATTAAATACCCTTTCCTGGGAACAAAGAGGGCAGGGGCCCAGCGTGCCTGGGGCAGAGAGTGCCCGTGACGCAAGTGTGGCAGGTGGCAGAGCCTCCGTGAAAGCAGTGGATCCTTGGAGAATTTTTTCAGAGGTAGAATTCACACACAATAAGATTCATCCTGTTAAAGTGTACACTTTTTAGTGTATTCAGAGTCCAACAACTATCACCACTATAATTTCAGATTTCCTCACCTCCCCCCAAAAATCCCATAGCCATCCTTCCTTCCCTCCCCCCAGCCCCTGGCGACATTAATCTACTTTGTCTTTACGGATTTGCCTGGTCTCATGGAGAGGGCATGCAGAATGGAGCTAGCCTCTGGGGAAGGCAGTGTACTAAAAATAACGCCTTGAGTTTGTGTCACAATGAAAGTCTGCAAAATGTATTCACAAAACCACCTCTTCCCAGTCTCGCAGAAGTGCCTTGCTGTCTTAATGATCAGTGTCTGCATTTTAATGAAGCAGTCAACCAGCCCAGAAGATGACTGACCAAGACCCAGCCCAAGGCGTTGCTGCATTCTAGTGGTGATCCACAACAAAGCAGGAGGGTGAGTGTTTGAGGGGGGATGTGCCCATAGTGGTCATCATTAGCACCTCTTCTACCCTAGTGGCTACTGCCTATCCAGGAAGCACTAGAGACAGAGGTTCAGGGCTGGTGGGATAAACGGCGGGTCACTCCTGCTGTTTGTTTCTGTACATCAGGAGACCCATCTGAACAGTGATTCAGCAAGAGAAGAGTAATGGACATAGAGACATGGCCTTTTGTTTGCTAAACTCATTTCTCTGTCATCTCCCTCTCCTCTACCCTGTTTGTCTTACAGAATGTAGAATGATGTATTTACGAAATGGAAACTTAGAGCAAAGGAAGACCACAGGACCTGAGAAAGTATAGCCTGACTGTGGAGCCAGCCCAGGGGAACGGGACAGAATGCTGTGCCAGGAGTTGGATGACTTTCCCTTGGAAGCATTAAGATGGGACTTGCCTTATTGGTAATCATGGCTTCAAACCACTTGATTACACCTAAGTTATATCTGATTTCAATTGGACGTATGTTCCACCAAGCCTCTTTCTAGTTCCAACCAGTATTTTATGAGATGATTTTAGTCGGGTGGAAGGGGATTCTCTACTGCCATGAGCCAGGGAGGAGCCTGAAAGAAACACACTTCCATCACTACCCGCCCCCGTTAGTTTCCTGCTTACGTGCTTCAGGAACTGGCTGGGAACTCCACGTTTCTGGGGTTTCAGGGAAGACCTTAGCTAGCTGCTTATTGTACTGATTCAGGTTTTCCAGGAAAATCTGGTCTTTTTTTGCCCCAATCTTGTGGACGATCTGGACTTCATCTGCGAACAAAGAAACAGTGAGCCCCCAGCGCCCTCCTCTTTCTTCTCTTCCCAACTTTCCCATCACCAGGATCAGACTCAGTTTCTTTTTACTCTAATCGAAGCCTCAGGCCAAAACTGCCACGCTGTGGGCATCCCTTGAAGGTGGCTGTTGCATAGAAATGTCACAGCGGGCCTCTTAGAGAAGCCTTATGGGACCTGGGAGCTAAGGATGGCATCCTCCATCAGGAAAGCAGAGCCTAACTCATACTAAAAAGAGGTACCTAATTAATCCTATCAGTCTTGAATATCTTAATCAGAATTTTTTTTAATTTATTTTTTAAGGAATACAAATTTCATAAGTACAACTTTAGGAATATAGTTGTTCTTCCCACCATACCTGCCCTCCCACCCACAGTCCTACCCCTCCTCTACCTCCTCTCTCCCCTTGCCAGTCCCATTCTCCATTAAGATTCTTTTTAATCAGAATAGTTTTGTTAAATGCTTGAAGACTTTCAGCTGACAGCAGTTAGGAACAAGATAGGGGTCAGAAAGAAGAAACAGGTTGGTTGGAACATGCAGACCTACACCAGGTATCTTGGAAAGCGCAGCAGGATTGGAGTGGGAGTGGTGGGCATTTATTGGGCAACGTCTGTGTGCCAGGCATTGAACAACAGGCATCATGCTTTCTTGTCTACTATATTTGAAGGACATTTTTAACATTTTTTTACAAAGAAGGTATATAAGGCTCAGAGTGTTTGTTGAAGGTTACTAAGAAAGGACTGAGCCAGGATTTAAAACTAAATCTGTCTGACTCCAAGGCAAGTGATTTTTTTCCCCCAGCACAGTTCCTCAGTAAGGGGAATATCTCAAAGTGAGCAAGTGAAGAAGGGTGAAGAGGTAGTTTGTTCCCGAAGTCAAATATTACATCCTCCATGGCCCCCTTAGGAAGGTAAGGGGTAGAGAAAGAGGAAGAGAGGAGACAGTTCCCACAGTACCAGGTAGCACTGCCCCGAGCCCCTGTGCTAGAAACCAACAGGTGTCCCCATGAAAACCTGGTCATCCAAAAACTGTCATCCACACCCATGGCTGTTTCTGTTCACCAACTCTCTTCCAATTCCCTGGTCCATGCCCACCCACCTGCATCCCACCACACGGCTCAAGCTGTGTTACCAAGGAGAGTCTCCTGTTCAAAGGTGTTGTCTGTGGAGTAAGCAAACTTTCCAGCTCTGGGGTTCACTTGTCGGAAGTAGCTCTCATTCTGGGGTTGGCAGATGTTTCTCTTTGCCTTGATATCCTGAGCAGTCTTATTGTTGCTGGGTGTGATTTCATCCGTCTGTTCTTGTGGGGTGTAACTGGACAATCTTGGCATAGGTGAGAGAAAAGGAAACAGGAAAGGGTGGGAGATGAACTTCCATTAGATCCCCAGCTCATTCCCTTTCCTCTTTAAGCCCCACTCATACACATGTGAGCATCTGAAGAACACCTGTGTCAACTGTTAGCCTTGCCCCTAAGGTGCCAGATGGACATGTAGCCGCCAGAAGGGCCTGTTTCCAGCCACATCTCCCCCGCTTTGCTGGATCCGTGCCTTTAACAGCACGTGACAGATCAACAGAGTGACCATGCTCACTGCATAAGGGTACAATGGTACCCTTAGAGGTTCATGGACTTGGAGAAGGGAATCTGCCTCTCTGTTGTCTCATTCTACTATGTGTGTGGCTATTTATTTATTCACTCAGTGGACAGGCTGCAAGCTCCTTCAAAGCTATATTATAATAGTGCATTATATTCCTAGCAATTGACAGACTGCCTGGAAAGCAGCAAGAAGGCAATGTGTTTGTCCAATCAATGAATAATAAATAAGTAGATTGCTACTTATTTTTGTTCACTTTTGGAAATCAGAATATTATACCAGCCCTGGTCTTCCTTTAGCTATAAATAAGGATGCAACCCGAGGGATGTAGTTACCCTCTTCTCCCAGGCTGCTGGGGTCTCTGTCCTGCAGCTGGTTGGTTTTCAGGTCAGTGCCATATTGGCTCCTCATTCAAAGTGAGGCAGGACCAAAGCTCAGTGCCATGAGGTCTCAGCTGTCCTCACTTTAACCACAGGTAACACTTCTGGGAGCACCTGAATGACAACTGATAGTTAAATTTGCTGGAGCAGGCTAAGAACAATCCCTCCAAGGGCAGTGGTTTTCAACTGTGGGAGATTTTGTCCCTCTCAGAGACATTTGGCAATGTCATAGCTGGGCAGTGATGGAGGCATCTAGTGGCTAGAAGCCATTGATGCTGCTGACATCTGTGCACACGGCAGCCCCACTAGGGAAAAAAACTGTCTAACCCAGAATGTCAGTGGTGTGGAGTTGAGAAACCTTAACTTTGACAAGATCTCAGAAAGCAGGTAGGCGTTGAACACGAGGTTGACGGGACAGTGCATTCTGAAATACAGAATGGGAGCCCACCTGGGAGTCCAGAGTTCTCAAAGGCACACCGGAGGCCCTGACCAATCTACCTGTAGTAAACAGGAAGTGGCAGCTCCTGCTTCTTTGTTTCCTGGGGGTGCACGCTGACATTCTGATCCGCCTCGAACTCCGCTGTCTCTTCCTCCTCCAGCTGCTCCAGGAGCTCCAGGTCACTGGCAGAGGTGAGCTCATCTCGGATGTGGCTCCAGTCGTACTGCTGGCGCAAGAAGCTCTGCCACTTGCTGGGAGACTCCCCAGGCCTCAAAGGACGCTTGCTCTGGATCCATCGGGCCGTGCGCTTGTTCAGCTTCCCCAGCACGACAGCCTCCCAGGCTCTGGCTACTTTCTCAGCCGGTGGGAGCCAGGCTTCCCTCTCCTCCAGGATTATGTCTGGAGAGGGAGGCTGCTGGGTGAGAGGTCGAGGGGCTTCCTGGACTGTGCTCGCTGGCTGTGACTTCCTCCGCCTCTTCTCGGGATTGACAGAGTTGTCTTTCTTCTTGCCCTGGAAAGTGTCCCCCACTGAGGGACCGTGCTGAGGGGCAGTTTTCTCAGGTCGGGCCTTTCTGAGCTGGGGGCGCTGGATGATGTTGTCTGTGTTGTAGAGGTGGTCAAAGCTGTACTGGCTGTAAGGGATGCTGGGCAGCCCTCGCTGCCACACCACCTCCTGCGAGAAGGTGAGGTTGGCAGCAGCCTTTTTCAGATACTGGTTCTTGAGATGTGTGTAGTGCTGTGGGCTGAAGCGGAAGGCTGGAGGAGCACACGAGACAGAGGCACACTCCTTGCCTTTCGGTTTTGAGTTGCAGAAAAGCGTGCCCCATCTCAGCTGTGGGGGGAGTGGCTGATGCAAGAGAGGGATCTTGCCATTCTGGGTCCTGGTCATATTGTTTCTACACTGCCCATCCAGAGGCAGGGCCTGGAGACGGGGCCAGGAACCTGTGAATGGGATGCAAAGAACCAGTAAGAGCCTTCTGCCAGCAGAAACGGGAAGCCTACAGCAGCATAGAAAGAATAGGGTCTGGCACTTGGCATCGTGGATAAGATGACTGCATCCTGTACTGGAGTGCCTGGGTTTGATCCCTAGCCCCAGCTCCCAGTTGTAGATTTCTGCCAGTGCAGACCCTGAGAGGTTCTGGTGCTAGCTCAAGTAACTGATTTTCTCCATGTGGGGGCCTGGATTGAATTCCTGGCTCCTGCATTTAGGTGCTTTCCCAGCTGTGCCACTGCAGGCATTTGTGAAGTGAGTCAGTGAATGGAGCCATTCCCTCTCTCTGCTGTTTGACTAAATAAATTTTTAAAAATTTAAGAAAAGAAAGAGAATAACAGAATACAGAGAGGATGGGTAGGAATTGGAGGAAAGGACATGCAAATGAGAAGAACACAAGAAAGAAACGGTGCGACATTGTAAATATTTTTTTCAAGTATCACCATGTTTATTGATAGATACAAGTATATAAAATCAGGGCATGAACATGACTTGATAAATTAAGTGGACTTAATTTCAATACTATAATAAGAGGGACCAATTCAAATTCTCACCATTTGTTTCACACCGTAAATATTTCTTGTATCACACACATGCTCCCAATTCTCACATTGTTTCCATAGCTCAGACCCTCATCTCCTTTAAGCATTACTGCATTTCAATAGTATACCACCGGGCCGGCACTGTGGCATAGTGGGCTAAGCCTCTGCTTCCAGCACCAGGGGCCGGTTTGTGTACTGGCTGCTCCTCTTCCGATCCAGCTCTCTGCTATTGCCTGGGAAAGCAGTGGAAGATGGTCCAAGTCCTTGGGCCCCCACACTTGCGTGGGAGACCCAGAAGAAGCTCCTGGCTCCTGGCTTCAGATGGGCTCAGCTCCAGCCATTGAGGCCATTTGGGGAGTGAACCAGCAGATGGAAGAGCTTTCTCTGTCTCGCACTCTCTCTAACTCTACCTGTCAAATAAATAAGTAAAATCTTTTTTTTTTTTTTTTTGGACAGGCAGAGTGGACAGTGAGAGAAAGAGACAGAGAGAAAGGTCTTCCTTTGCCGTTGGTTCACCCTCCAATGGCCACCGCGGCCGGCGCACCGCGCTGATCCAATGGCAGGAGCCAGGTGCTTCTCCTGGTCTCCCATGGGGTGCAGGGCCCAAGCACTTGGGCCATCCTCCACTGCACTCCCTGGCCACAGCAGAGAGCTGGCCTGGAAGAGGGGCAACCGGGACAGAATCCGGCGCCCCGACCCGGACTAGAACCCGGTGTGCTGGCGCCGCAAGGCGGAGGATTAGCCTAGTGAGCCGCGGCACCGGCCAATAAGTAAAATCTTAAAAAAACAAAACAAAACAAAACAAAAAAAAACAACCAAGTATACCACACTTTAATTGTGTGTGTGTGTGTATTAAAGAGTTTCTTTTTCTCTGTTCAAAAGGTTTACAGCATGAAGTTCAAACTGCTCAGTCTGACATTCAGGGTTCTCCATGAGTATGACCCCAGTTTATGACTTTGTCTAGACATGTAACCTCTGCTTCAGCCTGTTGGGTCTTCTCGCTGTCCGCTGAGTATTTCTCCCTCCACGAGTGCGGCTTCGCTGTGTGCTCCCTCCATGAAAAAGGCCTTTCTTCCATACTTGACACAAATTCTATCCATTCTTTCAGGCTCAGCTCAGTTCCTACCTGCTGTGTAATATTTTCTTGACCTATCCAGGCTATTATACCTGAATGTGTAAGTCACTCCTAGTCCATATCACTTCCTTTGATTGTTAATTCTGTGATTCATCACATTGTTAGATATACGGCTCTAACTGTTCAGCCCAAGACCATGTCTTCTGTCTCTCCAGACTAGCCTGGCACTTTTCCATATCACTACTTAGTCTTCATTGTTAAAAATATTCAAGCTGGGGGCCAGTGTTGTGGTGCAGCAGGTAAAGCTGTGGCCTTTGATGCTACCATCCCATGTGGGCACCAGTTGAAGTCCAGGATGCTCTACTTCTGATCCAGCTCCCTGCGAATCTGCCTGGGAAAGCAGTGGAAGATGGCCTAATTGCTTGGACCCCTGTCACCCACATGGGAGACCTAGATGGAAGGATTTACAGGTTCCTGGCTTTAGCCTGGCCCAGCCCTGGCTGTTGTAGCCATTTGGGGAGTGAAACAGCAGATGCAACATCTTTTCTCTGACTCTCCCTCCCTGTAATTCTTCCCTTGAAATAAATAAAATCAACCTTTAAAAATATTCAAGCTGTATAATATTTTATTAAGTAGGTAAATCACTCTGGCCCTTCCTTAATTATTAGGCAGACCATTTCCAGGTTTTGACTAGCACAGAAAATGGTAGAGAACTAATGCTTAGATTTAGTGTTTAGCTTTGTTTTGCCCTTTCTTCTGAAGCCCATTGGCCTAGTAATGATAGTTGGCACTTACGGGGTACTTTGCTGAGGGTTTTATTTACATAGAGAACTTATTATGATCTTCATTCCATCTGGGAAGAAGCTGAGGCTCAGAGATGGTTGGCAAATTGCTTTAGATCACATAACCCATAAGTTGAGGCATCAGGTTCCAATCCCGGCCTGCCAGGTGGCAACTCTGTGCCGTGCTGGCCGTGGCTCAAGCTCCGCTCCCCAGCACTGTGTTGCCTTGCCACTCTCAGAGCACATGGATCTCCTCACACACAAATGAAGCTGAGACCAATTATTCCGTGTCCATCTCTCTTGCCAGAACCAACTGCTGCCCTTCTCTGCACGCCAGATCTGACTTCTTTTCCCCTTGTAACCTGCAGCAAATACCATCCTTCCCCAGGGCCTGATTTCTCCCACTGTGTTCTGTGTATGAAATCTGACCTTGTATTTGTTTCTGTTAAGAGTCACCTTTTAAGCCAGCGCCGTGGCTCACTAGGCTAATCCTCCGCCTGCGGCGCCGGCACACCGGGTTCTAGTCCTGGTCGGGGCACCAGATTCTGTCCCGGTTGCCCCTCTTCCAGGCCAGCCCTCTGCTGTGGCCAGTGAGTGCAGTGGAGGATGGCCCAAGTGCTTGGGCCCTGCACCCCATGGGAGACCAGGAGAAGCACCTGGCTCCTGGCTCCCAGCTTCGGATCAGCGCGGTGCGCCGGCCGCAGCGTGCTGGCCGCTGCGGCCATTGGAGGGTGAACCAACAGCAAAGGAAGACCTTTCTTTCTCTCTCTCTCTCACTGTCCACTCTGCCTGTCCAAAAAAAAAAAGAGTTTTTACTGGGATGCCACTAGGCCAGAATTGATAACGTTTCAAATTAAGTCATGAGACAGGATTTTGGCACTGTAGTTAAGATGCCACTTTGGATGCCCATATCCCATATCAGAGGGCCTGGGTTTGAGTCCTGGCTCAGTTTCCAACTCCAGCTTTCTGCTAATGCGCACCCTGGGAGGCAGCAGGTGCTAGATTAAGTAGTTGGATCCCTGCCACCCATGTGGGAGACTCAGACTGAGTTCTGGGCTCTGGGCTTTGGCTTGGTCCTGCCCTAGCTGTTGTGGGCATTTGGGGAGTAAAGTAGTAGATGGAAGCTCTTTGTCTCTCTGCCTTTCAAATAAATTAAAAGGGGCTGGCGCTGCGGCTCAGCGGGTTAACACCCTAGCCTGAAGCACCGGCATCCCCTCTGAGCACCAGTTTGAGACCTGGCTGCTCCACTTCCGATCCAGCTCTCTGCTGTGGCCTGGAAAAGCAGTAGAAGATGGCCCAGGTCCTTGGGCCCCTGCACCCATGTGGGAGACCCGGAGAAAGCTCCGGGCTCCTGGGTTCGGATCGGCACAGCTATGGCCATTGCAACCAACTGGGGAGTGAACCAGCAGATAGAAGACCTCTCTCTCTCTCTGCCTTTCCTCTCTCTGCCTCTCCTCTCTCTGTGTAACTCTGACTTTCAAATAAATAAATAAATCTTTAAAAATTGAATCACATGTGATTAATATGATGTCCCCCTAGGATTTCTGCACATAAAACTAAATTTAGTTGTTTCATCTGTTTACAAAGAAGAAGGCAGTGTGGCCACAAGGGCACTCAGTATTTCAATAGCTGGAGTAGAAGAATTAGGGCAAAGGTAAAGGGCAGTCACATGGAGTTATTTTTCCTGAAACAGTATTTACTCTCACTGGTTGAAAATGAACTGTCAGAACATGTCAGTGTCCTCCTGCCTCGTTATTGCTCTAATAAAATATTACACATTCTTAACACATCTGTGTATCAGGATCTTACTAGAGAGAGTTTTACACTTAATTTTAAACTTGAAAAACAGGACGAGGCTCCCCTTGGGAAGTGGGTTAAAAGCCTGGGACATGGTGTGTCCTGCCTTTCTCTTCCTTTCCCTGGCCTCTCATCAGGAGGGGGCTGGCTGTAGCCCTGCGCCTCCAGGGCGCGTGGCCTTTGGGCCACCTGCCCTAGATGCTACTCCACGTGGCTGGTTCCTGGTGCTCGGTATGGACCCAGATTTACCTCTCTCTCTTAGATAAAGCTCTCACTCTCCTATGCTTCTCTCTCACTAAATAAAAGCCTAAAATATATATATATATAAAAAACACAGGATGAGGACTGGTTTCACCACAGGATGGCTGCTTGTATGGAGTGATTTAGGGTGTCCCCAATTTCAAGGGCTCTTCATAAAGTTCATAGATAGTTTATATTATGAAAAACCATATTTCATGTGTTTTAATTTTTTTTGGACCAAAATAAGCCTAGCTTTTAATTCTACTTTTCTACAAATTTTTTCAAGTCCCTGCATATGTGGCATAAAGAATGTTTGGTTATAATGCAAACATCCCAGAAAGAATACCATGTTATCATTATTAGTTATTATAAATTCTAGAGGAATAGCTGTTACTGATATGAGAGCTTATTGAAAAGGAAGGAGGTGGCCGGCGCCGCAGCTCACTAGGCTAATCCTCCGCCTTGCGGCGCCGGCACACCGGATTCTAGTCCCGGTCGGGGCACCGGATTCTGTCCCGGTTGCCCCTCTTCCAGGCCAGCTCTCTGCTGTGGCCAGGGAGTGCAGTGGAGGATGGCCCAAGTGCTTGGGCCCTGCACCCCATGGGAGACCAGGAGAAGTACCTGGCTCCTGCCATCGGATCAACGCAGTGCGCCGGCCGCAGCACGCCGGCTGCGGCGGCCATTGGAGGGTGAACCAACGGCAAAAGGAGGACCTTTCTCTCTGTCTCTCTCACTGTCCACTCTGCCTGTAAAAAAAAAAAAAAGAAAAAAGAAAAGAAAAGGAAGGAAACACGTAATAGATCCACTTATATAGGAGTGAGGTCAGGACAAAAGGTCAGTATAGTCAGAAGACCTGTCCTGGGTGCCTTAGAGCGAGAAGACAGCTGCAAGGCCAGGTTCTGCTCTTCCCAGCCATGTTATTTGGGCAGGTGATTAAAACAGCCAGCTGCCTATCCTGATTTTATGTTAAAATGAAGGTTGACACTGGAAATGTGGGTTAACGTTCTTTCTGCAGGCTGCAAGATATTGCATAAATGTGGAGAATTGTTACTATTGATATAGGGGAGGGATGAATTCTTGTTAGAAGGAACATCTCTGTGGTCTCACAGTCAGATGTACTGGGCACTAATGGAAGAATTTGGAAGTATGGGTCCGTGTTTGGCCCAGTGGTTGAGATACCCACAACTCTATATTGAAGAGCCTGGTTTGAGTCCTGGCTCTATTTCCAATTCAGCTTCCTATATGCACTCCCTGGGAGGCAGCAGGTGATGGCTCAAGTGCTTGGGTCCCTATCATCCATATGGGAGACCTGATTGAGCTCCTGGCTCCTGGTTTCCACCTGGTGCAGCCCTTGTTAGGAAAATGGTGCAGTTTTATCTATGGCGCGATCTACACCCTGGTTTACATCCTAGGCCCTAGCCCCCACGTGGCCCAACCACTGGTGTCAAACTCCACCCCCATCCTAATGAGATTCGCTGCTCCTGCTTCCCTGCCCGCCCTCTGGCAAAGTTTTAAAAGAACCTGTTCCTGAACACGTGGCTCTCTCTAGCCTCCTCCTCTGGTCTTTCTCTTCTCTCTTCTCTCCTGCTCTCTCTCTCTTCTCTCCTCGCTAGCTCCTCTCCTCTCTCTCTCCTCTCTGTTACACTCTCCTTCTCTCTCTTTTCTCTTTGCCCCACCCCTCTGGTCTGCTAGGTTTCCCCCAATAAACCTTTCCCCTTACTCTGGAGTTTGGTGTGTTTTGTGACAGCCTAACAGCCCTGGCTGTTATGGGTATTTGGGAAGTGAACAAGCAGGTGGAAGATCTGCCTTTGTCTCTCTGACTTTCAAATAAAATGAAAATAAATGAATGAAATTATTTTTAAAAAGGGGGGGGGGTTGGAGCATTAAGCACTTAAAAGAGAAGGTGCTTAGAGAAGGAAGGGCAGACCTACGAGTGGTGAGTGGAGTTCATCTGCACGGAGATGTTACCCGCCTTGCAATGGCAGGGTCCTTGCTACTAACAGACAGCCCTCAGAGCTGAAAGCTGAATGGCAGGTCCCAAGCCCTTTTTGTACACTGACAACATAAAAAAAAAATTTTTTTTTTTTGACAGGCAGAGTGGACAGTGAGAGAGAGAGACAGAGAGAAAGGTCTTCCTTTGCCGTTGGTTCACCCTCCAATGGCCGCTGCGGCTGGCGCGCTGCGGCCGGCGCACCGCACTGATCCGATGGCAGGAGCCAGGAGCCAGGTGCTTTTCCTGGTCTCCCATGGGGTGCATGGGCCATCCTCCACTGCACTCCCTGGCCACAGCAGAGAGCTGGCCTGGAAGAGGGGCAACCGGGACAGAATCCGGCGCCCCAACCGGGACTAGAACCCAGTGTGCCGGCGCCACTAGGCGGAGGATTAGCCTAGTGAGCCGCGGTGCCGGCCTAGCATAAAAAATTGAGTAAGTGGATCCTGGCATAATTACAGCTCAGGATTTGCAATCCCAGCAAGCAGCAACTACCAGCATCATCTCTGCACGTGGGAGCCAAGGCTGAAAGTCACGAGTGAGGCTGGAAGTTAGGCCACATACTTCCAGGTACAACTTGCTGGATTTCTAGATCCCTGGTTGTAAAATGTGCAAGTTGAACTAAAGTCTTCTGCCATTTTATGAGTGTAAGAAGCCAACTCCAGAGGAGCTGTAGCTCAGATTCCACGTTTAGTGCTGCTTGCTTCTTACCCTCACAGTGCCCAAGCACTCCCTGGTCTGGTACTGCTGGCTGCAAAAGTGTTTGGAGTGTTGAGTAATGTGTGCTGAAAGGAGTAA